TTCGAATCACGAATTATTCGAATCACGAATTATTCGAATGAAGAGTTATTCGAATCACGAATTATTCGAATCACGAATTATTCGAATGAAGAGTTATTCGAATCACGAATTATTCGAATCACGAATTATTCGAATGAAGAGTTGTTCGAATCACGAATTATTCGAATCACGAATTATTCGAATGAAGAGTTATTCGAATCACGAATTATTCGAATCACGAGTTATTCAAATCACGAATTATTCGAATAAAGAATGGTTTGAATAAAATGGTAGAATAAAGAATTATTCGTATAAAATTACCTTAGATTAAATATTAATTCCAAACAATCGAAATATGAATTACAGCTCTCTTTCTGAATGTAAAATAATACTAAAAGTAACACTTATTCCGGATCACAGAGTTACCGCAATCGAATGAATAGTAACTAGAAAATGTTGGAAAATTCGATTGCGGAATTAATAAATCCTTCGTAATCGTCGAATAATCGCGCGCTGGTACGTCGCGCAACGAAAAATATTGATTAAAAATGCACCGTGTGCATTATTCCCTTTCCCTGCGGGACGGTTCCCTCGGGCGCCATTGATCAGTTCCTCATTATGTAAAACGGCGGAACAAGAGTAAATTGCGAATTGTAATTTACAACCGTCCCCTTGGCGGCGCAAGAAGCTTTTCGAGTATCGATCGGTGATCGCCGGAAGCGATTTTTTTCTCCATTTGCGCTGGTGATCTCGGAAACGCGGGAACGCACGCACGGCGCGCGCTCATTTTCCATTAATATTGAATAGTCCCGAGGCGCGTGCACTGCGCTCTGATTTATTGACTGTCGATAAACTCGACGAAGCTCTGTTCGCAATACTTTTCTCGCGACACGCGATGACATTATGGGAATTTTCCCATAGAACGCTGTAAAATCCGCGCGGTCGACTGTTTACTTATCCATCTGCGCGCTCGTAATAAAATTGTAAGAAAAATGACGGAAGAGAGAAAAATATATTTCTATCTTTATATTTCTATTATTTCTATTATTTATTCCTATTGATATTTCTATTATCCTTTCCGTTGTTGTAACAGGAATTTATTTCATTTAATTTCTGCAAATTGATTAATCAAGCGACGATTAAAAGTACCCCGGGTCAAAATGACCCGGTTACCGCAGTCCGAAGATGTTTTTTAATGTAGTTTCCGAATTTTGACACGCTTGCAGCTCGATAGAAGTGTAGCAGAATTCCTGTCGACCCATAATTGTCTCGACACTATATTTGCTGGTCGACGAAAGAGCTTTTATCCTCCATCTTTCCATTTCGTGTCGCGTCGCGTCGCGTCGCGGAAGTTACGGTGACCATAATTTTTAATGTACTGGAAAAAAGTCAGATTAGTGGAAAGCAAAAGAATCGACCATGCTTCTATCGAGGTTCACCGCTGCTCGGTTTTAAAGAAGATCGAGGCCACGGCGAGAGCGCCGTTACCGAACGCCCGGGCGTTTCTCTTTCCCGGAACGTCCCTGTTTCTGGGCAGTAATCCAAAATTAAGATTAAATCTCGACGATGCTCCTTTCCTCTATTTCCAGAACGCGAAGAAGCTGCTCTCGTGGGAGAACAACGAGGCAGTTTCGGAAATCATCGCCGAGAAATCGCAGCCGTTGGTGCGCCGTTTCAAGGTACCGGTGCCCGGTGGGTTCAAAGCCTCGGTTCGACTACTGATCCCGCCTGATGCCGACCTATCCGGCGCTACCAAGTATCCTATGCTGATCTACGTGTAAGTAACTTACTCTAGTTTGCGCCGATTTAACTCTGAGTTGGTCATTATTCGAAGAATAATTTTGTTCGAACGATTCGAAAAGGTTCGAACGAGTTCGAATCGATTTTTCGAGTAATGTTTCGGATTGTGTTTTGGATAAATCCGGCGAATAAAATGCTATTCGAACAGTACATTGAATGAATTCTTCGAATAATATTTCAAATCGATTCTTCGAATCAAATTTGACTCTAATAATTTTTCGAATATATTTTTCAAATAAAATTTAATTCGACAAATTATTTCGAATAGATTCTTCGAATAAAATTTGATTCCTCGAGTAAGATTTGATCCGCAAAATAAACGTTCATCGATCGCGACAACTCTCCGGAATCGCAGCTTTTCGATGAAACTCTCGCTTCATTGGCGCGACCAACGACACCCCTACCATAATTAAACGCAGGGGCCCGGATGTAACAGTAATTGCGTTCCATTATAAATAATTCATCGTTCACAATCATACCCGTATTAGCAATATCGAGGGATTAACGAGTTAATTAAACGATACACGTCGAGCGTGCGCGATGTCCACAGGTTTTTCAACGATCTCGTAATTAACTCGGTTAACACGCGAATAACGATAAGAAATCGGCGTTGGGCATCGATCGGTTCCATGTTTTTAATTCGACGATCAAACGATCGATGATAACGATATTACGAGGGCGTTGACCGTCGCAAAGTCGACCGATAGAATTATAACCGATTGACGGAATTTAATCGTCGTAAAGTCGACGATTGAATTAATCGATCGATGAATTCAATCGTCGGTCGTTGATTAGAGGCGTTGGTCGTCGAGAAATCGACGATTGAATTAATTGATCGGTGAATTTAATTTGTCGCTCGTTGATTGAAAGAGAAGCAATTGATAATAATTGTTGATTTCTTGATGAAATTCGAAGGATATTTTTATGTTATTCCGTTGACAGTTGTCTTTATCATATTTATTACTATCTTATTTATCATATTATCTTTTCATCGTATCTATTATTTTTGTATTGTATTTTGCATTATTATAGTTATTATATTTTGCATTCTACATATTTTGAGTTACTATATTTATTGTATTTTGTACTCTACATATTTTATGTTAGTATATTTATTATATTTTACAGTGTATCTTGTTTATATTACATTTACTATATGTATTACATTTTGTATTATAATTATTATAATTATTATAATGATTGGCTTCCTTTGCAATGCACTTTATATCTTCGTATCGTTAATTGCGATTCACGATTAACAGTAGTAATTGAATTCATTAGTCGTGATTTTGCTATCGGCAAAAATGAATAAACAAATAATGACCGCGTGAATATAACGCGATGGACGACGATTTATACAGGACGGGACTCTTAAATTTAAACGCTTTCGATGGAAATGAGCGAACGTCTCTTGCCAGGTGACGGCAAGAATCGGACGTGAAGCTGAAGCTTCCGGTGACTCTTGCCGTTTTCTTATTCGCCCGGCGTCGCGGGGCTCGCGAAAATTTATACCGCAGAACACAAAGCGTTTCGCTGTTTATCCGCGATTATAAATATTTATGCGTTCCGTTCGAGGCACCGCGATCGAATCGATTCATCATCCCGATCTCTCTCTCTCTCTCTCTCTCTCTCTCTCTCTCAGCGCCGCCATCTTGCTTCTGCCGGCGAAAATACGCTCCGTATATATTCATCGGAACTTAATTTGCAAATCGTTTGATCGACCAGCCGCCTCGTTCCGTTCCTAGTTCCATCGTTCTTGTTCGGTTCGGCTCGGTTCGATTCCGAATAGCTACTCTATGAAATTTGAACGTGAAACACGCGAAACCAGAAGTCCTTCACCGAAGCGGAATCGGTAACGAGACGCATTAAAGGAGCCACGGTAACGGATCGAACTCGTCACGTTAACGTAAAGCGTCGTCATCTCTTTGGCATGATCGCAAAATTTATTCTAACGAATGTCTCGTTACAAAAACTTTGCTACAAAACCACTGCTGCGAAACCATTGCTACAAAAACTATGCTATAAAAACGTTGCTACAAAAACGTTCAAAAAATTGGAAAATGTTATTTTGCTACTGTCGACCGGTTAAAATAATCGAGAAGGAAATAAATGTTTACGCAACCGCTGTATCTTGCAACCAACGCGGACAATTTTTACTTACGATTTTTACATGTAAAAATATTATAAAAATATTATAATATTCTATTTATTTAAATTTGCAAATATTTCGCTGTCTATTATTACCGTACAATATAATTTCACAGGGAATAGTCTAACATGAAACAACAAAAAGATATAAGAACTTGCAAGTGTACATAATTTAGTTAATTTATTATTGATAAATATAGTACTTAATTTAATTGATATTATTTAATTTCATTTATATTATATTTAATTCAATTGATATTACATTTAATTTCATTTACATTATATTTAATTCAATTGATATTACATTTAATTTTTCATTTATATTATATTTAATTCAATTGATATTACATTTAATTTCATTTACATTATATTTGATTCAATTGATATTACATCTAATTTCATTTATATTATATTTAATTCAATTGATATTACATTTAATTTCATTTACATTATATTTAATTTTATTTATATCATATTATATTTAATTAAGTACTTAATTTAATTTACTATATTCAAATCGTTTATACATGGAGCATACGCGTGATTTCAGAGAAATATATAAACATATAAAAAAAGTTTCCCTCGAATCCGACGCAGGCAACGCATATTTCGCGCGAATACCACGCAGTCTGCAAACGCATAAATAAATAAACGGTATCCCGGTGGCATGTAATTAAGAGAAGCGACTACGAAATGAATATAAAGTCCCGGGCGAGCATAGCAGCGGGAGCTAGGAAAGCTGATAGGAAATCCTCTTGGAAATGAGAGGAGCCTCCTCCATCTTGCCCGAGCTTAGACGTCCGTCGGCTGGCCTTATTAATTAACGTAATGGCCCCGCGGGCTCGCCGTTTACGATCCGAATCGAATATCTTTTCTTTTTTTCACTCGGCGCCGATAGAATCCATAAAATCGGCGCCGCGTACAAAGGACATTTAATGGCGCCTGATTTCGTTCGCTCTCTCGCCGGCCTTTTGTTTCGTTAGCCGTTATTCTTCATACGCAAATACCGGGCCGGGCCCGTATGAATACGCTTTTTAATGTCTCCGCGGAGCGGATACGAATTATTCGGCGGGGTACGGAGGGTGGGTGGGGGGTGGGAAAAGCCATAGAGAAGAAGGGAAAAGAAAAAGGAGAAGAAGGAGGGGAAGGGGCGAGGAAAGGGGGTTGGAACGGAGAAAACGACGCGGTGTCGGGCTTCCCGCGTCAGCCGCAGCTATATCATTTATCAAAAAGTTTTTTGCCGGCCTCTATTCTATTAAAAGGTGTCGCGAAACGTCGGAAATATCGCCGCGAAATTCATTCGCCTCTGTGTAAACGAGCGTCGTGGATTTTTATCGTCGGGCCGCGCCGGTCTAGCGATTAATTCACTTTCGGGGAATGAATATTAACGGATCGGATCGGATCGGATCGGGCCGGATCGGGTCGACGCTGGCCCCGCCATATTCGACGGGAAATCGCGTCGCGTTGGGTGCGAACAAAATTTCGTGGCAAAAAGCTGCGAGTAACGGCGGACAAAACGATCCGGGATAGATTTAGCCCACGCGTGCAGACGGCTTTTTCGCTTTCCATTTCCGATGTTTTTGCTGTTTAACCCTTCGCACTCGAGGGGCTATTCTCGAGCGGCGCCGCTAAAAATATTGTTACGTCTCGTCTCTGAATAATTTTATTAATTATTGTTTATTTGTATTTAAAGAGCCGTTGAAAGAATAATTGTGTTGCACGGATCACTATGTTCGGTTTCGGATGCATAAAATGCACTAGATCGTATAAAATGGAAAAATCGTGAGTCGGAAGAACTATTTTTAATTTTTAATTGATTAATTAAAATATTATAATTATATTAATATGATGATCAATTTTAATTAATTCGGTTTCGAGTGCGAAGGGTAAAATCGCTCGATTGTTGGCGTCATTTAGCGGACCGTCCACCTCGCTGCTAATTATTTAATAACGTAAAGTTACTTAAATAATACTATAAATGCGATAAATAAAGACTGCGAATATTGTAAATACTATACATAAATACTACAAATACTATAGATATTATAAATAAATACTATTTAAATACTATAAATACTATAAATAAATACTATTTAAATACTATAAATACTGTAAATAATTACTATTTAAATACTATAAATACTATGAATTAATACTATTTAAATACTATAAATAATATACTAAATAATATACTAAATAATATACGAAATAATATACTAAATAATAATAATAATAATAATAGTACAACTAGTATAATATAGTAACTAATAATAATACTACAATAAAAGTTGCTTGGAAAAACGACACGGCAATTTTTCATCCACCGAAAGCTTCTCCGCTTTCGCGTTCGTGTAAATAGCGCAGCGCGTTGATCGAATCCAATGAGAATCGTCGGTTTTCGGATAAAAATGGAGGTCGGAACGATCGGGAAAGTACAAAGAATGATTTCGAAGAGATTGATCTACACGCAAAAGTGGCTTTCTCGCTTCATTTCCCATTATTTCCGGGATTTCTCCGCGGATGATTGAAAACGGCCTGGCTAAAATAAGAGCAGAGAGAGAGAAAAAAACGATCGGCCGGTTAATTCGTCGAACGGATATGATCGATCGATCGAATGGTCGGTTGAACGAAGCCCAAAGGAACTAATTACAGCCGCGCGGTGTACTCGCGCGTTTTCATTTAATTTTCATGGATCC